ACTGGGCACCACTGGAAGGTGCCAGCAGGGGCGAAGGTGGGGGGATGAAAGCCAGGCAGGCCCAGCGTCTGGGGTTTGCACATCTTCAGGCTCTGGGAATGGAGTTTTCTATCTTACCTTGTGTCCTGGGAGGGGGGGCTGTGCAGAAGAGAACCTAAGAATAGGTGCTTGCTAAACCCCGAGTTCCCATGTCGTGCACCCCGACCCCAGGGCAAGGTTGCCCCAGCCATCCCTGCCAGCAGCCTCTTTCCCACTTGTCTCTCCTCTGCACCCAGGAGCCTGAACTGGTGTCTGTTTTCCGCTCATGGTTTCCTCCTTCGCCGGTTCTACCCCAGGCCCAAATCCAAGATCAGTGGAGGGAGCCATGAGGAGACATGGGAAGGCCATGACTGCCCCCTTGCTAGCCTCCCTTCCTGTACCCCAGGAGGAAGAAGGAGGGTGGAAGTGGGATGTGACCTTACAGATCTGTAATGGAAAATCTCAACAGCAGGCCCGGATGGGGTGGGTTATTTAGGGAATTCAGATGCGAGACCTGTGCCCTGAGAGTGGATTTGCTGGAGGAGAGGTTGATAGTCCCTCTGCAGGGAGTGGGACCCGGCCCAGCAGGCAGGCACCACGGGGCTCTCGCCAAAGCACCCCCTCCCTCACCCCTTGCTTCCGCTGCACACAAGGCCTTCAGACCTGTCCCAGCACGGCTGGCTTCCCTGCACCCCATCTCCGTGCCCAGAGAAATGGGGACACTTCAGAAAGATCCTGTCCTCCGACTGCTCTGGGCAGAAGCCGGGGCAGGATTTTTTCTTCTCTGTCTGCCCTCTTCTGCTTTCCCCTGCCTCTCTCGGCCTCTCATTCTTCAGCTCTTTCATCAAATGAGCAGCAACAACACGTCTAGGGTAGCTGGCCCTGTCGCCTCCCAGCCTGGGCCACCTCCTGCACCCCGTCTTTAGCTGGTATAAGGCCCCCTCCCAGTGTCTCCCAGGCCTCCTCTCTGGCCCCCCGCCTGCACGGTCCGACCTGCCTTCCCTTCCCCGGGGAGGAGGAGGCAGCGGCCCTCCTTGTCTAGCTCACGGTTCTGGTTTTCCTTAGGACACAGACCTCCAGGTGCTTCTGGGAAGCGCCGTACTTTCCTGTTTTGACCTCTCCTCCCACCACCCACAAACCCCAGATTCAGCTCACAGCTCAACACCCGAAAGGAGAGGCAGGTCCCCTCGGTAAGGAAGGGACATACAAAACCCAGGGATGCCTTCAAGGGCTGTTGTGCTGCCCCTCAGGGCTGCTTTCCCTGGGCTCCAGGCCACACCCTCCTCCCTGCCTGCCTCCCACACCAGCAGTCTTGACTCTCTGCTGGGACCCTGTCACCGTCCAAAGGCCTCAAATGGATGGGCCGCTCCGGGTTCAAGTCCTCCCTTTCCTGGGCTGCAGGGTGCCTGCGGCCTCCAAGGCAGGGGGAGCATAGGAACCTCTGTCCCCAAGAGGTTGGAGGTGAGAGACCTGAGTTCCAGCTCTGAGTTCTGAGCTCCAACTGTGCAATCCCTCTGAGCCTCAGTTTCCCCTCCTGGAAAACAAGAGAACGCTTAGACACCAAGGCCACTGGCACCCTGGGATCCAGAGTGACTGCTCCCTCCCCTCCGAGGGCCCCCTCCCCTGGCCTCCCTCAGTTGTGGCTGTCCCAGCCCAGGGGGGGGCTGAAAGGAGGGGGGGCACTGCAGGACGAAAAGGGCCATCAACAGGCCAGTTGCTAAAGGGGCGGGAGGGGAGGAGCCCTCGGGGATCCTGTTTCAACAAACTGTTTCTTTCCCGAGAAGGGGAAGGCGGGGGCGAGGGGGAGAGGGACCTATTTAAAGCTACCCAGTGGCTTGGGCTGTCTCTGTCTGCCTGCCAGGGTCTCTGGCTGCCCCAGACGGGCCGGTGTGGGCTTGGGACCCTCTGCAGCCTAGGTCCCCTCAGCCACTCTGCCCCAAGATGGGTCGCGGGGTGAGTATCCCCAAAGAGCAGCGTTGCTGTCTCTGGGGGGTGAGGGAGGGGATAGAGAAAGGATGAGGTGGGAATGAGATGTGGAGGGGAGGCCAGAGAGAAGCCGAGCGAGTGGGAGTCTGAACTTGGACCTGAGTGTCTGAGCGACAAACGCGTGTGCGGGTCCCATGGGGGCCCTGGCAGGCTCAAGTGCCCTCCTATTCTCAGCCCTCAGCCAGAGCCTCCCACCCACGCCCCCACCGGCTCTGCTGCTCCCACGCCCGCTTCTCTCTGGTCTCCGCACTGCTCACTCTTCGCCTGGGCAGTCCCTCCTCTCTCGCCGCATCCCCTGGCCTCCCCTGGGGAAGCCGTGTTCTTCCGCCTTTGCTTGGGAGGGGGGTGCCCCTAGAAAACACCCACTCCTCAGGGAAGGCCAGCCCGAGAGGATGGGGTCTATGTGAGACTGGACAGGGGCAGGGAAGCTTCCCTCTCCCAGGTCACCCAGGAGTTCCGGACAGCAGCTCCAGGAGCCTGAGTGCCAGGGACAGCTGGGAGGGGTGCGGGAGGGAGAATGAGGAGCCGCCAGCCCCCACCTCGGCACCCCTCCGGATGTCCCCGGCAGTGTTGTCCCGGGCTCCAGGCCACGGCTTTGAGGACTTTCCCAGAGACTGGTGAGAAGTGCATCCCCTCCCAGCCCACCCCTGCCCGTGGCTGCCAAGGGGGAAGATTAACAGCCACATGGGGCGGGCAGGGACTGGGCTCAGAGTTCTTGGAAATGAAATTCCCATATGGAGAGAAAAGTGACCCAATCCTGTACCATCCTGTGCCTGGCCGCTTTCCTTCTGCGGAATGCTGGCAAAAGAGGCGTGGAGCGAAAAGGCACCATGAGCCATGGGAGGGTGCAAGGGGGAGGGTGCAAGGACGTGTTCTTGCACTGAGCTGAGCAGCTGGGGAAGCTCCAAGCCTGGACATCAGGGTTCCTGATCTGGGGTGGGAGCTCTGAATAGACCCCGAGTGCCTGGTGCGTGTCCCCTGGTGAGCACAGGTTCTTCTCCCAAGACTGCAAGCCCCACAGATGTGCACGGATGAACACCTGCCTGGCGTCTGTGCAGGCAGATGTGCGGATGTAGGGTGCAGACATAGATGCCCCTGGGCAGGTGTGTGAGCGGCTGTGAGCCTGCCCTTAGCAGCCAGCCTGTGAGGTGTGGGTTTCTGGCCAGAAGAGGCACTACTGTGGGAAGATACTGGGACCTTCCACTGCATCTCAACATCTCTTGCTGCCGGCAGAAAGGGAGTCCCCTGTTGAAGAGAAGCAGGCTTGGGGGGGGGGGGCGGGGGATCAGACAAGCCCCTACTCTCCCACTAAATGGAGGCAGAGGAGGGGATGTAGCCCCTTCCCTATTTCACCTATGGACCCAGCTCAGGAGGTCCTTCTTGGGAAGTGACTTGACCTTGCTGTCTCAGTCTATCTTTCTGCCCTAGCACCTGCAGACCCTAAACCTCCACCCCCACTGGTTGTGGGTGAAGCAATAGCAAGACGCAGGGCAGATTTGGTCTGCCTGGCATGAGAGGCCAAATGAATATAGGGACCTAGCGCCTGGACCTTAGAGTCCAACCACAGGAGACCCCTGAAGAGGAAGGCACTCACTATCCACGTCCTCTTCTAGGGTTGCCTCCTGTTCCTTCCTCCCTGCCTTTCTGTGTTGGAGCAAGAATTAACTGTCCCCCAAGCACCCGGTGGCCATGAAGGGCAGCGTGGGAGTTGGGGGAAGGGACAACACTGGTGGGAGGGAGCCCGGCCTGCTCCAGCTGCCACCAAGAGGCTGGTGGCGGGGGGTGGGGGGCCCTGGCTGGTTTCCAGCTGCCCCCACTCTGTCCCAGCCTCTGGCTTCCTCAGAAAGAACTCTCTGTTCTCCTTCAGCATTCACGATCCAGCGACGGAGACTGTGGTTGGGGGAGGGCGTAGTAGTGGGGGGGGGGGGGCGGTCCTTGCTTCCTCTCTTTCTTTCTCGCCTGGGCAGCCGCTGGCCCCAAATCTCCACAGGCTCCTGGCTGCAGAGCCTCAGGTCCTTGCCAGGACAGGAGGAGGGGGAAGGGGCAGTGTCCCAAGCCTTGAGCCCTGGGGAGAACAGGGTGGGAGCTTGGTGAAAGGAGGCACTGCATGATCTATGTGGCTCGGCCTTAACCCAGCAGCCTGGAGTGCTTGGGCCAGCGAGTTTTTCCAAAGCACGTGTTTGAGTCTAATGTCCATATACTTGATTTCACGTCTGGAGGTACAGAAATTCCTCGGGGCCCTGCTCCTCTGCCCCCAGCCCAGCCCCCTCCTGTCTGCAGGCCCCGGGCCCTGAAGCTTGTCCAGCTTGATCTCTTGCCTCTGGTCCCTTTTTTTGCTTTTCTACCGTGTCTCAGTCCCGTGCTGCCAAGGACAGAGTGGGGCCTTTCAACTCATTCAGTGAAGTGGACCCTCTTAAGTCACCTGGGGAAGGCAGAGGCGGGAGCACTCCCAAGCTGGGCTGCTTCTGTCTCCCCAAGATCGTCAGCCTTTAGGAAGCCAAAAATAGATTGGACGCAGATGCTTCTGAGAAGGACAAATTCATGGTTGGTGGCCTTTTCTGAGAAGGGCGCTTCTGAGTAACAGCTTCCAAGAGCCTTTACCTTCTAGGGTCGAGGATCTCAGATCCACCGCCCACTACCTCTCCCACCCCCACCCTTGCTCAGATTTCCACCCTGTAGGTGGGAGAGGTGTGAGCTCTTGGGATCAGGGCAGCTGCCACAGCCCAGGGATTGCCCCTGACATTGTGGTGGTTTTTTTTTTTTTTAAAAAAGCATTATCCGGGAGCCCACACTATTCCATGTGACACCACAGTGGTGGATATAGATCCACAAGCACTCATCCAAACCCACAGATTGTACGAGAGTGAATCCCAGGGTAAACCACCGACCTTGGGCAGTAACCGTGTGTCAATGGCTCATCGGTTATAACAAATGTCCCCTCTGGGGTGGGTGCAAGATGTTGGTAGTGGTGGAGACTTCCCTGTGTGTGGGAGCAAGAGATGGAAGAGAACTTTCTCTAATTTCCATTTGTTTTTGCTGTGAACAACCACAACAAAAAATTCCCCCCAAAAAATCTATTTTAAACAAACAAATCTCCCTAAACATATTATCTTGCAAAAAAAAAAAACAAAAAGACAAAAGTGGCTGTTGATATTACCCAGGTGTCTACTCTTTATGGGGAAGAAAATCAAGCTACAGTGTGATAGAGAAAAACTCAGCATGCCTCTAGGTCCGTGGAGAACAGGCATGGTGGGGCACTGAGTGGCTCCTCTGTGACAAAGCCTGTGTCCTGGGGGAAGAGGAAGGGGAGGCAACAGGAGGGGGAGGGCCATGAGAAGGCACCTTGCTTGCTCTCTAATCACGCTGTCCAGAACTCCTTGTCCCCTCCTATCCTGTCACCCCAGGACAGCCACCCCTTGGAAGGGGACATTTCCCTTCCTTTCCCCAGAAGTTTCCTGTGGGGCCCCGGGCAGGCTGGCCGTGAGGAGATCGTGGGCCCTGGAGAGAAAGGGGCCTCGTAGGCTGCAGTCGAAATGCCCACGGGATCTCCCCCGGCCACCTGAATGCCTGGGCCTAAGACTCACACAGGCTGTAGCTTCAGATCTACTCCCAGATACACTTCCTTGTGTTTCCAGACACACAAGGATCCCTCCTACCGCCTCACCCACCTTCTGACCCAGTGCTGCTTGGGGGCCCCAAGCCCGGTGAGCTGCCTTCCACGAATCACAGGCAGGCCTTCCAGGCAGGAGGGAGATGCTCCCAGCACACACACGCTCCCCTTTCCTGGACGTGCTCTGACCTCCAAGCAGCGACTTCTCCCAGTCTGCAGCGCTGCTTGTTCCATTTCTGCCACTCACCACCTGACCCTGCCCTGCCCTAATCCCTTTTCTGCCCAAAGAATCTCCATCCTCCAGATGCCTCTGCCCCAAGTACAAGAGCCATCGTGTTGGGCAAAGACACTGCTTCAGGGTGCTGCTTCCCTCTCACCTCCCTACCCCGCATTCACTCCTTTCCAGAAGTCTCCTAAATAGTGGGGGATAGTGGCTTTCAAAATGTGCATGTGGTTTGTTTTGTGCTGAGCACCAGCAGGGTCCTTTCCACAAAAGAAATCACAGCAGAAGGCCAAGTGTGAAACTGCTGCAGACTTAAACAGTTCCTGAAGTTCAGACGTGGGGCCCATGGCTCTGCCACTCATCCACACCCACAGAGCCTGGAGCCCCTCCCCACCTCCTCCAGGATGGTCATTGCCTTTAAGTCCACCTCCCAGTGCCTGGGCTCCCTGGCCACCTGGTGTGGGCAGAGTCTCCAGCCCGTCCTCTCTGATCTCTGCACACTCCTTACTCCTCCAGGCCGGCCGCGAGTACTCACCTGCCGCCACCACCGCGGAGAATGGGGGTGGCAAGAAGAAGCAGAAAGAGAAGGAACTGGATGAGCTGAAGAAGGAAGTGGCCATGGTGAGGCCCAGAGCCCTGTAAGCCGGGCGGCCCCATGCCCCTAGCTTCACCCCTTTGTCCCTGTGCCCTCGCATGCATCCTACACACCTACAACAACCTCCTTCCCCAAAGTAACCAGCTTCCCCTCCCCAGGATGACCACAAGCTGTCTTTGGATGAGCTGGGCCGAAAATACCAAGTGGACTTGTCCAAGGTGAGTGGGTGTGGGCACGAGGCTTCTAAGGACGGAACTCAAGAGGTGAGAGAATCATGCAGGTTGCAGAACCAGAATGCTACCTGCTTTTCAGGTGAAGAAACCCAGGCGCACACAGCTCCGACTTGCCCAAGGTCACACGGCTAGTGATGACAGAGCCAGAATTAGAATCAGGACCCCCTGCTTCCGCATCCAGAGCTGTTTCCTTGTGTACCCTGGAAGCCAGAACTCCTCAGGACCAGGCCCCAGAGCAGGTGTGAGCAGGGCCTGACTTCAGTGACACATGGCCTCTCGTGGAGCCGACACACGTGAAATAGGGAACGAGTCCACTTGTTTGGTCGTTTGCTCTTCCCTTGCAGTGTACATCATTTATGTCCATTTCTCTTTCCAGCAACCTGTGAAATAGATCTTATAGACCTAATTGTTAAAGCAGAGACTCAGTCTGTGACCAAAACTTCCCCAAATCACAGAACAGTAAGTGGCACAGTCAACCTTGCCAAGCCCAGTGTTTTGAAATGAAAAAAGAAAACATTAATCAAAAATGTAGTGGGAGGTGCTGGCATTGTAGCATAGTGGGTAAAGCTGCCTCCTGTGATGCCAGCATCCCATATGGGTGCCGGTTCAAGTCCCAGCTGCTTCGCTTCCGATACAGCTCCCTGTTAATGGTCTGGGAAAAGCAGCAGAAGATGGCCCAAGTGTTTGGGCCTCTGCCACCCACGTCGGAAATCTGGATGGAGCTCCTGGCCTTGGCCTGGCCCAGCCCTGCTATTGTGGCCATCTGGGGAGTGAATCAGTAGATGGAAGATTGCTGTCTCTCAGTTTCTCCCCCTCTTTCTATAACTCTGACTTTAAAATAAACAAATAAATCTAAAAAAATTCTTAAGATGTAGTGGGTCCCTACCCCTTCCTGAAGGCTTCCTGTGGGCCTGACTCCCCTATCTAAATTCTTTTTTTTTTTTTAAGATTTATTCATTTACGGCCGGCGCCACGGCTCACTAGGCTAATCCTCTACCTAGCGGCGCCGGCACACCAGGTTCTAGTCCCGGTCGGGGCGCCGGATTCTGTCCCGGTTGCTCCTCTTCCAGTCCAGCTCTCTGCTGTGGCCAGGGAGTGCAGTGGAGGATGGCCCAAGTGCTTGGGCCCTGCACCCCATGGGAGACCAGGAGAGGCACCTGGCTCCTGCCTTTGGATCAGCACGGTGTGCCGGCCGCAGCGCGCCAGCCGCGGCGGTCATTGGAGGGTGAACCAATGGCAAAGGAAGACCTTTCTCTCTGTCTCTCTCTCTCACTGTCCACTCTGCCTGTAAAAAAAAAAAAAAAAAAGATTTGTTCATTTACTTTAAAGAGTTACAGAGAGAAAGAGAGAGGGAGAAAGCTTCCATCCACTGGTTCACTCCCCAGATGACTACAAAGACTGGCACTGGGCCAAGTTCAAGCCAGCACCAGGAGCTTCATCTGGGTCTCCCATGTGAGTGGCAGGGACCCAAGGACTTGGGTTATCCTCCACTACTTTTCCAGGTGCATTAACAATGGAGCAGCTGGGACTCGAACCAGCACCCATATGTGATGCTGACTGGCATCACAGGAGGCAGCTTCACCCACTGTGCCACAACACTGGCCCCTGCCCTATGTAAATTCTATGCCCCTGTTCTTTATTTTCCTTAACACTTTTCACTGTCTGGCATTACTATGCATTTGTTTACTGCATGCACCTATTGTGAGGACCCAAGATCCACGAAGCATGGGCCTTGTTGTTCCTTTTTTAAATATATAAAATGACTTACTTATTTATTTGAAAGAGTTATAGACAGAGAAGGAGAGACAGAAAAAAAGTCTTCCATCCTCTAGTTCACACCCCAGAATAGCCGCATGGCCAGGGCATGGCCAGGCTGAAATCAGGAGCCTGGGTCTCCCACATGGATAGGGAGACTGGGTCCATCTTCTGCTATTTTCCTAAGTGCAATAGCAATGAGCTGGATTGGAAGTGGAGCCCCTGGGACTCAAACCAGTGCTCATATTTGATGCTGGCATCCCAGGCGTTGGCTTAACCCGCTGAGCCACAATGGCAGCTCTGACTTTGTTGTTCTTGTCCATTTCTGGATCCCCAGACTTGATTACCATACCTGGCAGGCAGTAGGTGCTCACTGTACACTCAATGCATAGATGAATGAATGGGGCAAAGATGAATAAGAAATACTCCTTGCTTTCAAGGAGCTCAGGGTCTAGCATAAGAAAGAAATGCAAACATAGAATCCCAAGGCAATACAGTGAGTGTGTCTGTAGAAGCAAGCACGGGATGCCAGGCAGATCCAGAAAAGGGCATCTGAACCAGCCTGCAGCTAAGGGCACAGGGCTGGGGGAGGCCCTCCATGGACAGTGACAGGTGACTGCCAAAGCCATGTGACAGTGACAGTTCGTGATGTAGGCTGCTCTTTGAAGCCTTGGGGAAAGGAGGAATCTGAAGAAAGAGAAATGCAGTGAGGACCAGTTGAGGTCTGTTTCCAGGGAGCTTAGCCAGGCTGCTTCCAGGAGAGATGCTGTGGCCCTGGAAACAACTGGAACCACAGTCAAAATCCTCCCGAGCCTTCAAGGCCTCCAAATCCCATCACAAAGGCCACCTCCTCCATGTGGTCCCGCTTGATGGTGCCCTACCCCTTCCAACCAGGAGGGATTTTTACTCTTCACCTGGATGTTATTCCTCGGCCAGTGAGCTGCTGGGGTGTGGTCAGGGCTGAGTTGGATCTGAATGCATGCTTGCCTCCTCAGGGCCTCACCAACCAGCGGGCTCAGGACATACTGGCTCGGGACGGACCCAACGCCCTCACTCCACCCCCGACAACTCCTGAGTGGGTCAAGTTCTGTCGCCAGCTTTTCGGGGGCTTCTCCATCCTGCTGTGGATTGGGGCCATCCTCTGCTTCCTGGCCTTTGGCATCCAGGCCGCCATGGAGGATGAACCATCCAATGACAATGTGAGTCGGCACACGTGACCCCTGGACCAGCTTATGGCTCCATCCTTCAGCCCTGAGCCCCCAGCATGATGGGGTCAAGGAAGGCGCATGGAATAAGATACTCACATCACAGTCCCACAGCCACACCCAACCCTAGACTTCAGGCTAAAAGAAGGCTGAGGGTATACACATGGAAAATGCACCCCTCAAAACCCACACACTTTGTACAGAATGAGATGGCCCCTCCCTGCTCCTTCCCAGTACATCCTGGGCCTTCACCCCTTGGGAAGTTCTAGTCCTGGGGGACTCCCTAAGGCTTCCCCTGCCCCTTCTGTCTTAGGACACTGGAGGTTGGGAGCAAGCACTCTCCCGATCCATGCTCACTCCCAGTCACATACAAAGGTCTGTGCTGTCATCCTGGATGGCACTGATTGCCCACCATAAATGGCAGCTGCCCCTCTGGCATGGGGAAGGGCAGGTGCCTCACACACTCTCTTTCCCAGCTCTATCTAGGTGTGGTGCTGGCCGCTGTGGTCATCGTCACCGGCTGCTTCTCTTACTACCAGGAAGCCAAGAGCTCCAAGATCATGGATTCCTTCAAGAACATGGTGCCTCAGGTAGACGGCAGGCCTGGGCTCTGGGCCGGGGCTTACAAAAAGAGCCTCTAGCTCCCCACCCGAGGACCTAATTGTGTTGCTCACAGAACAGGGGGTTGGTGGAGGGTGAGAGGAGGGCAGGGTAGAGACAAGCTTTTCATGAGCTGCCCGTGGCCTCCCCACAGCAAGCCCTTGTGGTCCGGGAGGGAGAGAAGATGCAGATCAATGCAGAGGAGGTGGTGGTAGGAGACCTGGTGGAGGTGAAGGGTGGAGACCGCGTGCCCGCCGACCTCCGCATCATCTCTTCTCACGGCTGCAAGGTGAGAGGCTCCGCCACAGCTAGTGGTTGGGCAGATAGAGGTGGCAGGGGCCCAGGTCATGGTTTAAAGTCTAGGATACCTGGGTCCAAATGTCAGTAGCCCTCCCGAACCTTCTCTTAGCATGCAGTGCTTCGTCCTGTCTCCCAACATCTCTGTGTTATGAACGCTCTATGCCTTTGATATCCACTTTATAACTACCATGTGCTGGGGCCAGAAAACGTGTCAGTTGCTGTCTGCATGCTCACATTCACTATCTAATTCCGCTCTGAAAGAACAGTCAGGCAGGGCTGCTGCATGTGGCCACACTGGTTGAGCCCTGAGCAGCACCAGGAGGTGCCATTTTCATAGACTCCACTGCTATAGGCTCCCCTGGTAGTGGTGCAGTGCAAAGGCTGTTTACATTCCCCACTTTACAGATGAGAAAATAAAGGCCCTGTTGGTTAAAGAAATAACCCAAGGTTCCATGCAAAGCCAGTATGAGCCAGGGCTGCAAACCAGAGCAGGGGCAGTTGCTGAGTAATGCCATAAATATGCGATGAGGACAAATGTAATTTTGTCCCTCAAGTCATGAAGATGGAGTGTGCTTGGAACTGGCTCAGGAGACAGCTCTGTGTGCACAAGTGCTTGTGCCAGTCTGATGACTGCATTCCCCCCTCCTCAGGTGGACAACTCATCCCTAACGGGCGAGTCGGAGCCCCAGACCCGCTCCCCCGAGTTCACACACGAGAACCCCCTGGAGACCCGCAACATCTGTTTCTTCTCCACCAACTGTGTGGAAGGTGAGCAGCCGGGCTGCCCAGGGAGCTCCCCACCCTGCACGAGGGAGGGAGGGCTCTGAGGACTGAGGCCCTGGTCAGCGCTGGAGTCCATAGTGGTGCAGAGCGGGCAGCTGGGGCGGTCAGGAGACCCTGAGTGCTACACACACAGCCCCCTTTGGAAAGCAGGCCTTTGGTCAGGGTCAGCGTAACTCAATGGAACAGTCAGCAAGGGTTGTGTCCACTCCTAGAGTGGGCCCCAAAGCCTTCAGACACTGGGTCAAGACTTCTGTGCGTGCGTGCACACGCACTCACACACCCACACACACCCAGATGCCCTGAACCAACCTTGATTGCTAGGAGTCCCTGGTTTCCTATGCGTCCTATGGCTTGTGGTTCTGTATTTAACTGCTTCCTTCCTCCCACCCTTTCTCTAGCCAGATCCTCAGGCTGGCAAAGGATCAGGAAAGCTTTTAAGTCAGATGCACACCTGAACCCTCCCTCAGGTTGCAGTGAGGTCAATGCCACGCCCAGTGAAAGTCCCCACCTTGCACAGGCTGTCCAGTGTGCCCCCATCCCTGTTCTGGGTTCTAGAGCCAAACAAGAAGGGTCAGGAAGAGCTTCCGGAGCCACCGTCACTGAAAGGCAGGGGTTCGCGGGGCCGGCGCCGTGGCTCACTTGGTTAATCCTTCGCCTGCAGCACCGGCATCCCATATGGGCACCGGGTTCTAGTCTCAGTTGCTCCTCTTCCAGTCCAGCTCTCTGCTGTGGCCCGGGAGGGCAGTGGAGGATGGTCTAAGTGCTTGGGCCCTGCACCCGCATGGGAGACCAGGAAGAAGCACCTGGCTCCTGGCTTCGGATTGGTGCAGTGCCGGCCATAGCGCTCATTTGGGGAGTGAACCAACGGAAGGAAGGCCTTTCTCTCTGTCTCTCTCTCACTGTCTATAACTCTACCTGTCAAAAAAAAAAAAGGCAGGGGTCTGAGCACAACTGGAACCCTTGCCCTGTGTGTTGAAGTGAGTGGGCCGAGTCAGGACTGACTGAATAAGGAGCAGTGGGTGAGCGGTGGTGGGAGACAGACCTGGACCACAAGCCTCTGAAAGTGGGGCGAAGGAGGCCTGTACCCCAATTCCATACCTTTCCCTTCCCACTACCTGTTTCTCAGCATACTGTGTTTCTCCAGGGTTGGAATTACACTGAAACCCACCACACATTAAATTTCCTGAATATTTAATGTGCTGAGATTCTGAAGCTTCCTGTACATTTCCCACAATTGATTTATGCACAAATGCCTGGTTAGATATTCCCATTGCTCACTTTGCAATTGGCTTTGAAGAGAGGAGAGGAAACGAATGGAACTAACATTTGTCAAATGCCTACTATGTGCCATAGTGTTTAATTATTAAGACAACCCCTAGGTAGGAATTCAGCAAGGGTTGAACCCCAGATTTGATTGGCTGCAACATACATACTCTATCCACTACACCACACTTCCTTCCCTGAAGACCCCTGCAGTGCCATACAAGGGCTGGCAATTGCCCAGCTTCTCACATAGATTCATGCTTAGTGTTGACAAAGAAAATCTGGAGAGTATGGTAAATAGAAAATCCATAATGAGTGCTTTACTTCGTGCTCATAATACACTTTTGGATGATATCAAATACAAGATTGATTTCACTGAAATGCTGCAGGCACTTTTTATTTTACTTCTTCAATCTCTTCCATTTGAACTTGGACCTTAATCACATGACTTCTCTCCAGGCCCAAGTGCAAGGGGAAATAATTTGCTGTTGTAGGAGCTGGGGTTGCTGTCCTGTGCAGGAAGGACAAGCCTGTGTGAGGCACAGTCTCCTGGAAGTGGCCTCCAGGGGCTGAGTCTTTGACTCATTCTCTCTGTGATGAGCAAGGTTTCCCCTGCTCAGGGTGTAGGCTGGGACTTTAGTCCCTAGGAGCCTCAACGCACCTAACCTGCTGTCCCTGTGTATGTTGTAGGCACTGCCAGGGGCATTGTGATTGCCACTGGGGACCGGACAGTGATGGGCCGCATAGCCACTCTCGCCTCGGGCCTCGAGGTCGGACGGACGCCCATAGCCATGGAGATTGAACATTTCATCCAGCTGATCACGGGAGTGGCCGTGTTCCTGGGGGTCTCCTTCTTCGTGCTTTCTCTCATCCTGGGCTACAGCTGGCTGGAAGCAGTCATCTTCCTCATCGGCATCATTGTGGCCAACGTGCCAGAGGGGCTCCTGGCCACCGTCACCGTGAGTGGCTCAGGCTGAAGTGTCACCAGGGGGGAGGTCTTGCTACCCCTTCCTTGTAATGACAGAGGCACAGGGGCTTGTTGCTTGCCAGCAGTGTTCCTCTTCTGTTCCCTGAAGTCACAGGTCAGATGCTGAACCCAGCGGTCATTGAACACATAGCTCAGAATTTGAGTCTGAAAACCTCAGGTTGAACTTTACCTGGGCACTTAGAGTTTCCACTGTGGCGTTTGCTCATCACCCGTGTGCCTGTCTCCTGCCTGCACTTGGGCCTGTCCCAGCCAGCTGTCCTACAGAGGCTCTCTCAAAGGTCACCAGTGACTGACCAGCAAATCCAGTGACCTTTCTCACCTCCCTGCTGTGAAATGGATACTGCTGTGCGCCGTCCTGGAGTTCTGTCCTTTGTTCATGGCTGTGATGTGCCAGGCCCTGGCTGTCTTCTCCTCTGTCCCCTCCTTCCTCTCCCACCCTGACTCTCAGACCTCAGCTCTCTGCTCATCAATTTTTGCCCCTGGAGTGAGCCCCTCTCCTCCCACAGTCCCTAGAGCCCCTTCTGTGTAAGTGGCTTTCACATCGCTTCTCTCTCTCTCTCTTTCTCAAGCTCTAAGTCAAATATCCTCATCTCTCTGCTGTGTCTTGCACATGAATATACCCCATGATCTCAAGTCAACGTGGTTAAAATCAAACACACTCACTTTTACAACTATATTCCACCCATTCCTGTTTGTGGAGGAGGATCCAGAGGAGGAGAGCCATGGTCTAGGGTGAGATCATAGACAGCTGAGGCTCCAGGCTTACCTGTCCTTTATTCTCTCTCTACCAGGTGTGCCTGACCCTGACAGCCAAGCGCATGGCGCGGAAGAACTGCCTGGTAAAGAACCTGGAGGCTGTGGAGACACTGGGCTCCACCTCTACCATCTGCTCGGACAAGACGGGCACCCTCACCCAGAACCGCATGACCGTCGCCCACATGTGGTTTGACAACCAGATCCATGAGGCTGACACCACCGAAGACCAGTCTGGTGACCGGGCACTCCTGAGGCAGGGCGGGAGTGGAGGGCGGACACTAAGGGAGCCGGCGTGGCAGGACAGCTGGGGTGCCATGAGTGTGCCCAAGGGGAGCCACAATCCTGATTCTCCCTCCTCTGCTCCCAGGGGCCACTTTTGACAAGCGATCCCCAACCTGGACGGCCCTGTCTCGGATTGCTGGGCTTTGCAACCGTGCTGTCTTCAAGGCTGGGCAGGAGAACATCTCTGTGTCTAAGGTAGGAGGTGGCCGTTCCCTTTCCCTTTCACAGTCCGTGGCTACCTAGTGGGCCTCAGGGCCCTTCTCACCCAGTCCTCCACTCCCTTCTGTGACGCTGGATTCTCTTCTCTCCCGGCAGCGGGACACGGCAGGCGACGCTTCCGAGTCAGCACTGCTCAAGTGCATTGAGCTCTCCTGTGGCTCAGTGAGGAAGATGAGGGACAGAAACCCCAAGGTGGCAGAGATTCCGTTCAACTCCACCAATAAGTATCAGGTCTGGACAGAGGGAGAGAGGGACAGAAATGGGGCAGGGGACAAAGCCAAAGGGAAACCATTAGTCAGAGGAGGAGGAGGAGGCATCTGAGGATAAAGTTCTCTGGCTGTTGCCTCAGCCCACATAACAACTTATATGACAACATGTCTGCTTGCAATTAACTCCTAACCCTTATTGCACTCCTTTCTAGAAACCAGCACCCTCTCAGCTCTTCTTCTCACAACTCCCTGTCCACCAGCCACATTCCTGTAACTTTTACATCCCATTCAAGGGAGCCACACTTCTGTGGAGTCCCTCAGCTTTGAGGCACCTGTTAAATGCCAGGAATGCAGTCTCCACCAAGTTCTGAATCAGCATACAAGTAGAGCCCCTGTGGCCAGCGTTGGGTAGGGGGCGCTGGTGAGCGGCACCCAGCCCCTGGCACAGGTCCTGTCTTAGTGATCTTAATGACTGTGGAATGAATGAGTGTCCTACGGAGGTGACTGTCAGATCACATGAGTTGGGACTTTCAGGACTCGACACCCCTCTGCACAGAGGTTCTCCCTTTGCTGGCAGTCGTTAGTGAGCTGGGCTATTGTTTAAGGGTGAGGGCTCCGTACCAGCCACAGCTCTGTACCAGGCTCTGTGCTGGGCCCTGGAGCTCCTGAGATCGGCACAGCCCCATCTATAACCGCCTGTCTGTTCCCCAGTTGTCCATCCACGAGCGAGAAGACAGCCCCCAGAGCCACGTGCTGGTGATGAAGGGAGCCCCAGAGCGTATCCTGGACCGGTGCTCCACCATCCTGGTGCAGGGCAAGGAGATCCCTCTTGACAAGGAGATGCAAGATGCCTTTCAAAACGCCTACATGGAGCTGGGAGGCCTTGGCGAGCGTGTGCTGGGTGAGGGCTGGAAGCAGGGAGCAGGACTGAGAAGGGAATCCGGGCAGCCCCTCCAAAACTCTCACTTCTCCCGCTCTGCCCCGCTTCAGGCTTCTGTCACCTGAACCTGCCCTCTGGGAAGTTTCCTCGGGGCTTCAAATTTGACACGGATGAACTGAACTTTCCCACGGAGAAGCTCTGCTTTGTGGGACTCATGTCCATGATCGACCCGCCCCGGGCTGCTGTGCCAGATGCTGTGGGCAAGTGCCGGAGCGCAGGCATCAAGGTACCCCTCCCTTCCGACCCTCCGTCCTGCCCTCCCCGTGCCGTGGGCCTGCAGCAGCTGATGCCCTGGTACACTCAGGCCACACTGGCCTGCTACCCACTGACTGTCCACCTGCAAGGAAAGGTCGGCCCTTCCTGGAGCTCTCACCCTCACCCTGTTGCTTAGGGCTCACTTTCTCATGCCCATCCTCCCCTCCCTGGTCCAGCTCACTGTCCCAGCATCCAGTGCATCTTCCTTCTCGTTTCGAGCAGCAGCTGGCATCCCTGTCTCAGAGACCAAGCGGCCCTACCATCCCCAACTCCTGCCCACTCTCTCTAACCACTGGGGCTGGAGGTGGCAGACGTTTGTCTGTTCCCATTCCTTATCCTGTAACCCCACCCCCTCCTGCTCAGGCACCTCTCTGGCTTCTCTTTCCAACCACAGTTACCTCGCATGGTGCTCCTTTTGTTCTTCATTCAATAAGAATTTATAATTTACCAACTGTGTATCAGGCACTGTGCAAGTGCTGGTGTTAAGCAAAGATCTCTTCCATCTTGGAGTTAACAGCTTGCCACCATCCCCCTTTCCTGATCACCAATTCTGACTCTCTTTAAGTTGCTCTCCTTTTTTATGTTTAGTTCTTTTTTTTTGACTTCTCACCTATTATGAAACCAATGCAACTCAGACTGTCCACTGAGGGCCAAGTACTAGGCTAGACACCAGGGAAACAAAGGGGAATAAGGCATAGGGCCTGGACTCCATGCCTCCTGATCTCTCAGAGGAAGCAGACACGCTTGCAGTTAATCACAGATCTATTGGTCATTGAATATCTGCTATAAGTTAGATACTCTTATAAGAAAAAGGCAGTTTTTAAGCTTTTATATAAATCAGGCACTGTTCTAAGCACTAATCCTTGTGATCTCAATCTTCACCATGCTGTGAGTGAACGCAAACTAGTATTTTCCCTTTGTTACAGAGAGGGACACTGAGGCGTGAAATTACGAGTCCAAGGCCACACAGCTAGCAAGCCATAGAGGCAGGATTTGAAGCAAGACAGTCTGCAGGACTCGGTGCTGTGTCTGTATGAGATTTCTGAACCCTTCCCACCCGGCTGCCTCCGTGGTGGGCATCATTGTTCCTATTTAGTGATCAAACAAACTGGAACTCGGAGTGGGGAAGCAGCTTTCCCAACATAGAGCTTCCAGTAAGGGATAGACTGGGAATGTGCAGTGTGCTCTGCTTACCTGGAAAGCCCAGGCTCCTCCTGCTGGGTCAGTGCTCCCGCCAGGACCAGAGCCCTCACAGCAGCTGGGCAGTACCTCCATGGGAAGACAGAGCAGGGAGCAGCTAACTCTGCCTCGAGGAACTGGATGGTGTTTGACGGGGGGATGATATTTGATCTGTGCCTCTGTGCCTTGAAGGCTGAAGAGTATTCTATTGGGCAGTGAGGAAGGGAAGGGTGTGTCAGGACCAGGGAACAGCGTGTACCCTATGTGGGGCTACACTGTACGGGGTGCGTGAGACAAGCTGATGTTTATTACGTCAGACCCAGTTGTAAGGGCTTGACTTAAATGCCAGGCCTGGACTCCATCCTGCAGCCACAGAGGCATCGCAGGGCAGGCCTAGCTTTTTGGAGACTACCTGGATAGAAAAGGGTCTGGATTTGGGGCTGACCTGCAGTTGGGAAGACAGCTCAAAAGGCTGTTGCAGTAGTTCAGGCAAGAGCTGATGACCTGAAGGAGACCGGCAACAATGGGAGCAGGAGGAAGAGTCGTGTCTGAGAACCTGGTGACCACACTGCATGCGGAAGTTACAGAAAACACAGGACAAAGGGTCAGAATGGAAAGAGGGTGGTGTCTTAGGTAAGAAGGGAGCAGAGGCGGAGGTGTGGCGGGAGTCGTCAAAGTGACTTTGGTTCTGACCTTCAGAATATGTAAGACAGCCAGGGCGAGATGTCCCGGGGAAGGTTTGGATGTGGTCAGAACTGGAGATCTGAATTAAAGGCTCGCTGATGAATACTGTGTTGTCCAGGAAGGGAATGTGGGTGAAGAAAAGGGGAGAGAATGAAACCCTGGGCCTCACCTGCATTTAGGGGCAGGTGGAGGAAGACGAGCCAGGGAGGAGGGCAGAGGGAGGTGAGACCCAGGCTCCCATCCACTGAGTGCCCACCTGAGGCTCCTTACTCTTCCTGAGTCCCTGGGAATGTAGGGCTGACTTCCCCGCTCCTGCTGAGAGTGGGCAAACCGACTTGTCTCAGGTCCTGTGGCTGGAGAAGGTCATGTTCGGACTTAGATCTGCTGCCCAACTCCAGGGCCAGTGCTCCTTTCCACTAGGCTGCTGCCCTAGGAGGCTGCAGAGAGGTAGTGGAGGCAGGAATGGTGGAGCCTGGGAGCCATGGGAGGGTAGGTTTTCCAGAAAGGGTGCTCTACAGTGCCGAACGCCTTGGAGGATCAAGGGGGATGAGGACTGCAAAGATGTTTTTGTTTTTCCATGGGGAGTCCCTGTGGCCTTCATGAGGGCAGTTTCAGTGGCATTGGGAGAGAAGGCAGTGGGGCCCAAAGACACTTAATTCTCAGGCCTCGTGCACTTTGCCCTGCAAATGCTCTCCCAAGCCGGCTCTGATCCCCCTGCGCTCTTAGGAGCCTCCTAACCAGTCTGCCAGGTGAGGCCCTTCCCCCTACCCCAACTCCACACATTCTGCAGCAACAGCGGTGAGTGCTCTCACAGTTAGGGCAAGCTGGGGGAGGGATGTCACAGGCAAGGGAACAGCGTGGGGGAGGCAGGGACACTGTGTCCATCTTCTCCCTCTCTGTCCAGTGAGACTGCTGCAGCTGTCACATTAGGCACTATGAAAATCAGCCCCTAGTTCTGGATCCCTGTGACCCTGAGTAACACGTGGGCCCCCTCTGGGAGCTGGCTTTCTTTTCTGTTTGAGGGAGCTGTTAAAGCATCCCCCAGCTCTGACTGCCTTGCAGCCCACAAAATGCAGACTCCTAAAACATCTAAAGAACCTGAAGAACTGAAAACTGTTGGTCCCCTGAATATGGCACAACTTGTCTTTGTCTCTCCCCTTCAATCACCCAATCAATACACACGTGCACGTGCACACACAGACAAACACACACAAATACATGCACTCACACACATGAGTTCCATTATCTGGGCTGGGTTCTACCAGCCCAACACCTAGTGATCTAGCTTTTTCTGACGTTGGGAGAGGGTTGGGAGGGGGAAACCCCTTCATTCTGGTCCCCTTCTCTCTTCTCCTTCCCATAAGGTGATCATGGTGACTGGGGATCACCCGATCACGGCCAAGGCCATTGCCAAAGGCGTGGGCATCATCTCAGAGGGCAACGAGACAGTGGAGGACATTGCAGCCCGGCTCAACATTCCAGTGAGTCAAGTCAACCCCAGGTGAGGCCTTTGCAGGTACCCTCCCCCACCCCTCATCAACACCTCCTCTGCCACTCAAGGCTTGAGGGTCCCCTGGGAGGATTTGAGCAGCCTCTCCGGAACCTTCTGACATTTCTGTGACTGCTTCCTCTGTTCTGAGTGTGTGTCCAGGCTGTGAGCGACCTTGGGGGTGTCGTGTTACCTTCCTGATCTCTATTCTCTCAACTATACAATCAGGATGCTGTCTACACTGCAAGGCGGCTGTAGGAAGGCATAGGGGACAGAGGGACAGGGCTTTGCCTTGCAAACCCCACTTATGACTATGATAGGAAAGATGTGCACGGCTTCCTCAGAGAGAAGGAGCACCAAGAGGGAGAATTGCAGCAATGGGGAGCCACCTCAGCAGGCAGACTGAGGTCTAGAGGGCTGGGAGAGGCAGCAGGGGCCGGCACAACACAGGGAGTCAGCTGTCTCTGCCCCCGCTCCCCAGAGAAGCCAAGGCATGTGTGGTGCACGGCTCTGACCTCAAGGACATGACATCGGAGCAGCTGGACGAGATCTTGAGGAACCACACAGAGATCGTCTTCGCCCGCACATCTCCCCAGCAGAAGCTCATCATCGTGGAGGGCTGTCAGAGACAGGTGAGCAAGGCGGCCAGGAGGGAATGGCTAAGGGGACAGGGCAGGGAACAAGCGCTGGCCGTAGCCTCATCCTCCAGGGCTGGCTGTCTCGGATCTTCTCCCCAGGGAGCCATCGTGGCGGTGACGGGTGATGGGGTGAATGACTCCCCCGCGCTGAAGAAGGCGGACATCGGCATCGCCATGGGCATCTCTGGCTCTGACGTCTCGAAGCAGGCAGCGGACATGATCTTGCTAGATGACAACTTCGCCTCCATTGTCACCGGCGTGGAGGAGGGTGAGGGGCTGCTTGGGCGTGGCGGGCGTCCAGCGTTTCTGATGCTTCCTGCATCTCTCTCCAAAAGACTCAACCCTGGGCTTCTGGGCCGCCCGGCCTGCTTTAGCTCCCTCAGGCACCATGGGCAGCCGGCCTCGGGGCTGGGGGTGGGGGCGGTCCCCCTGATCTCCCTGATGCCCTCAGAACCTCCCCCCAGGTCGCCTGATCTTTGACAACCTGAAGAAATCCATCGCCTACACCCTGACCAGCAACATCCCCGAGATCACGCCCTTCCTGCTGTTCATCATCGCCAACATCCCCCTGCCCCTGGGCACCGTGACCATCCTCTGCATCGACCTGGGCACCGACATGGTGAGGCCAGGGTGGGCTAGGGGGCAGGCGAGGTGGCCGCAGCGTGCGGGGTGGGCAGCGGATGGAGGAGCACCACCCCGGGGCAGCAGACGAACCTGCAAACGTAAAGACAAACCCCGGGGGCCTGGAGGGTAACAGGCTCTTAACACCCAGCTGTGCAGTTGTGTCAGAGACCTTCAGCCTGACTGTTGGGCTGCCTGTCATCTCCTACACCCCTCGAACGCCCTCCCCTCCCCCACACCCGCCCCACACAGGTCCCTGCCATCTCCTTGGCCTACGAGGCGGCTGAGAGTGACATCATGAAGCGGCAGCCACGAAACCCCCAGACTGACAAGCTGGTGAATGAGCGCCTCATCAGCATGGCCTACGGACAGATCGGTGCGCCAGGCCCCTGCCAAGGAGGACCCCCCGACCCCCCTCCCACCCCCGCCAGAGGCTTCCTGTCCCAGATTGTGGAGGGCTGAGCCCTAGGCATCATTCCAGGACAGGGCCCAGCTCCCAGGGGTCAGGGACTTCCACCTAGCTGTGAGAGGCCGGCCCCTTGTGCTTCCTCCTCTGACTCAGACCCTGCCCGTTGCCCACCACCCACAGGGATGATCCAGGCGCTGGGTGGCTTCTTCACCTACTTCGTGATCCTGGCAGAGAATGGCTTCCTGCCATCACGGCTGCTGGGAATCCGCCTCGACTGGGATGACCGGACCATGAATGACCTGGAGGACAGCTACGGACAGGAGTGGGTGAGTGGTGCCGTGTGAAACTGAGATGCACAGAGGGGCGAGGACGAACGCCCGGTGGGAGTGGCCAGGAGTGGCCACGTGACACTGAGGGCAAAGAGCCAGGTAGGTGGCTGGGGTTGGACAACAGCCCTGGCACCGTGCTGCGTCCCGGTCCTGCGCCTTCCTCTTGACACGCTCACCTCTCTCCAGACCTATGAGCAGCGGAAAGTGGTAGAATTCACCTGTCACACGGCCTTCTTCGCCAGCATCGTGGTTGTACAGTGGGCCGACCTCATCATCTGCAAGACCCGGCGCAACTCGGTCTTCCAGCAGGGCATGAAGTGAGTACCCGGCTCTGCCCCCATCCAGGGCCCACCCACCCACCCGGGCAGAGCCACCAAGACATACATGCCAGGCTCCCACGCAGGTTGCCTCCGCCCACTGGGTCCAGGTCTGCTGAGCTGGCTTCAGACTGTAACTCTCCAACTGTGAATCCGTAGCCAGATTTGCAACGGATGAGAGTGACGGGACTTTCCGACGGGTTCCCATTTTGCTCCTAAAATGTGTTTTATAATGTGCTCCTCCCTGCCTCCTTCCCTTCCTTTCCTGTCTCTTCCTTGAGTACTCCGCTGTCGGACTTCCCCAGCCCTAAACCCGGGTGTCCTGTGCTCCCCACTCCGAGGTCTGTCTGCCTGGGTACTGGCAGTGCCCAGGGTCGGCTCAGGCCTTCCTGCAGTGAGCTACCCCGTGCCAGGCACCTCACTGAGTGCCTTGTGCTCACTGTTTTTGGTTTATTTCCTATAATCTGTGTTTTTTTTAAGATTTATTTATTTGAGAGGCAGAGTCGCAGACAGAGAGAGGGAGAAACGGGCAGAGAGGTTTTCCATCTGCCGATTCACTCCCCAAATGGCCGCAATAGCCAGAGCTGGGCCGATCCAGAGCCAGGAGCCAGGAGCTTCCTCCAGGTTTCTCACATAGGTGCAGGGGCAGTGGCCCAAGCACTTGAGCCATCTTCTGCTTTCCCAGGACATTAGCAGGGAGCTGGATCAGAAATGGAGCAGCCGGGACTTGAACCGATGCCTGTATGGGATGCTGGTGGAGGCTTAACCTACTATCCCACAGTGCCTGCCCCTTATACTCACTCTTGAACCTCACAATGGCCCTCTGAGCTGGGTAGTGCTACATATGTTTAGTGGATAAGAGGCCCTTAAAAGGTTAAACAATGAGCCAGCATCACCAAGCTGCTAAGAGTTTGCCTGGGTCTCTGAAGCCCAAGCCCTGGGATCCTCCCCTACAAGTAGTGACTCTGCTGTCACACAGCCTGGCACCTGCAAGGTCCTCAACACTCAAGCGGTGATTCTAGCACAGGTGGTGGTGAGGCCAAAGGCATCGGGCTGCTTCCCTATTTTTCCTCCAATGGCCACACTTCCCCAAATGAGTTTTGTCATGATCTCTTAGTTTGCGGAAGAAAAAAAAGAGGCTAAAATTCTGAATCAGTACCAGTTAAGAACCTAAGGAGAGCAACGTGAGAAGTCTGCTGGATAAATAAAGGTAACACGAAGGATATGGGGTGGGACAGGGGCACATTTGGCCTAGTGGTTAAGGCGGAGCTTGGGATACCGGCTCCCACGTCAGAGGGCCTGGGTTTGTCTCGGCTCTGCTCCAGATCTCAGCTTCCTGTCAATGCACTGCCTCCCTGCCACTCCTGGCTTCAGCCTGACCCAGCCCTGGCTGCTATAGGCATTTAAGGAGCAAACCAGTAGATGACAGATTTTTTTTTCTCTTTCTCTCTGTCTCCATCTGTATATCCGTAGAATCCAGACTCCAAAGACTTGGGCACAGTTCTGGGGCCTGGGACTTACCATACAGGGCATGTGTGGCAGGAAGGTGGGAATGCAGCCAAACGGGCTCAGCCCAGCCCATCTGAGAGGCAAAGGCGAGAGAAGCAAGACAAAGTCAGGCCTGGGACAAGTCACCTGGCCTCAGAGTGCCTCCGGTCGCCCCTTCGAGCCCTGGGCCTCCGGGGGTCTGCAGAGTTGCTGTTTGCATCATTTCACAAAGCTCTCTGGAGTCAAGCTCTTGCCTAGGAGAAGCTCCCAGGCTGGCTAACCTGTGGTCCTTGGGCAAAAACCCAGAGAACAAACCATGAAGTGAAGGAAGTACCTGCGTGCTAACTCACAGCTCTGTTTGAAAGGCATGGATGTTTCTGATTCATTTCCAACGAGGAACAGTATCCCTTAACAAACACAGCTTGAGAAACAGAAGTCAGTTAGAATGTGGTCTTCATAGAAAAAAAATAATAAGAGGGGTCCTCAGAGAGTGGAAATGTGGGCACCCCTGGCGTCAGCCTGAGGGGGAGCCATGCACAGGGGGATGGGAGGCTGAGCATGGCCAGGACGGGGCACATGGCCCTTTCTAGAGCTTTCCAACATTTCCACCATTTCCCCAGCGGCATGATGGTGGAAAGGTAAAACCTGCGTTTACAGGGAAGGAGTCTGAGGCTCGGGGAGGTCACAGGTTGCTTACCTCCCAAAGCTAGGAAGCAGCAGCGCTGGGCACAGAGCCCGCCCCTCCAGCTCCAGGAAATGCCCTCAGAACCTTGTTCCATCTTGCTTTTCGACACTGACACAGCTAAGGCACACCAACCACGCACCGTGCAGGGGCTAAGGTGCTTTCCACACGGCCTCCTCCTCGGCGACTGTCGACGGTGGAACACCACCAGCAACTGCGGGACAGGCTGGGGATGTGCAGGGTCTGCGTGGGCCTGGGCTCTGCATTGAAGGAACTGTCAAATCGCTTTGCTGGGGGAGGACCCCTCTCAGGCCCTGGCCAGAAGGCAGGCTGGTGCTGACCAGCCAATCTCAGGACAGAGCATGGTCCCCCCATGCTTGAGAAACATTTACTGTGTGACAGACAGCAATCAGAGGTAAACTGGGTAAGCAGGAAAAAAGGTCCTAGTCATGCAAAGCATGAAAATAGGGTGTTTGAGCCGGCGCCACAGCTCACTAGGCTAATCCTCTGCCTTGCGGCGCCAGCACACCAGGTTCTAGTCCCAGTCGGGGCGCCGGATTCTGTCCCGGTTGCCCCTCTTCCAGGCCAGCTCTCTGCTGTGGCCAGGGAGTGCAGTGGAGGATGGCCCAAGTGCTTGGGCCCTGCACCCCATGGGAGACCAGGAGAAGCACCTGACTCCTGCCATCGGATCAGCGCGGTGCGCCGGCCGCGGCGGCCATTGGAGGGTGAACCAATGGCAAAGGAAGACCTTTCTCTCTGTCTCTCTCTCTCACTGTCCACTCTGCCTGTCAAAAAAATAAAAAAATAAAAGAAAATAGGGTGTTTGAAGAAAACATAGGAAGACGTCATTCATGGTCCTTCGTTTCCTGCCTGCTCTTTTCCTTCCAGCCCCAGGAGCGTCTCTGGATCTCTTTCTGCAACCACCACCCCCTTAAATGCTACCCACCTGGCCGGCGCCGCGGCTCACTAGGCTAATCCTCCGCCTAGCGGCGCCGGCACACCGGGTTCTAGTCCCGGTCGGGGCGCCGGATTCTGTCCCAGTTGTCCCTCTTCCAGGCCAGCCCTCTGCTGTGGCCAGGGAGTGCAGTGGAGGATGGCCCAGGTGCTTGGGCCCTGCACCCCATGGGAGACCAGGAAAAGCACCTGGCTCCTGGCTCCTGCCATTGGATCAGCGCGGTGCGCCGGCCGCAGTGCGCCGACCGCGGCGGCCATTGGAGGGTGAACCAACGGCAAAGGAAGACCTTTCTCTCTGTCTCTCTCTCTCACTGTCCACTCTGCCTGTCAAAAAAAAAAAAAAAAAAAAATGCTACCCACCTTCCTGTCTTTGCCTTTCCAGGAACAAGATCCTGATTTTTGGGCTCCTGGAGGAGACGGCATTGGCTGCCTTTCTGTCTTACTGCCCGGGCATGGGTGTGGCCCTCCGCATGTACCCCCTCAAGTGAGTGTCTTTGGGTGGCCCCAGGAAGAGGCGCAGCAGGGCCTCAAGCCCCTCTGCGGTCCACGTTCTCTCACATTTGAGTGCTACTTCCTGTGACCCCTGTGCCGGCCTCTGATACTCCTGACACTCTCCTCTGCTGCTTTCAGGGTCACGTGGTGGTTCTGTGCCTTCCCCTACAGCCTCCTCATCTTCATCTATGATGAGGTCCGAAAGCTCATCCTGCGCCGATATCCTGGTGGTGAGCACCTGTGCACCCCACCCAACCCCCAGCAAAGTCTGACCCCCCCCCCAGCCTCCCTGCTCCTGCTCCTCGGCACCCTCAGACCCTAGGGTGCAGGTCCCAGGAGCCTGAATCTGTGGCACCTCTTCCTCTCTGGTTCTAAGTCCCACGTACTTCAACAATTGATCTCCGAAGCCTCCCCCTTCCACCTGGAGTCACCGAACATCAGATTTGGGCCCTTCAGGGCCCTCTGGTCATGACCCCCACATTTGACAGATAAGGAGAGGAGGCACCGAGGTGGATTTATTTGCTCAGTGTCAAAAGCAAGGAATAGCAGAACTGGCACCGGAACCACACCTCCTTCCTAGGCGTCAACCGACAAATTGTTATCGTTTTCCCAGCAAACGTTTTTGAGCACTTGCAGGAGGTTGCCAATGGCTGGCCTACAAACCAGATACGGTGCATAGATACTGTGGGATGTGGTCTGCCCAATATGTTCTGGCTTGGTGGTGTTTTAGCTGGCCCAATGTGACTTCTGAAAAGTCAGGGTCACATTGCTGCACACCAGCCATGGGCAGCTGCTCCCTCAGTCACGCACTAACTACCTGGACAGCTGTAGGCACCTGCATTCTCACCTGCCCTGTGCTAGCCCACCCTCACCTGTGCTGAATCCAAGTCTTCTCTAAAGGCAGGCTTGGCCCCTCGTCCCCTGGAATCTGTGGCCCCAGGCCCTGGCTCCCCTTCCTACCCACCCTCCCACAGCTGCTTCCCTCTGCCTCCTTCAGCAGGCATCTCTGCCACCTGGCCTCAGTGTCCCAAGCCCTGGGGACATGGATCTCTTGCTTCCTTTTCAAGATCACATTGCAACCCCAACTCTCCCCCCACCAACCTTTGCCATCTCTCCAACAGGCTGGGTGGAGAAGGAGACGTACTACTGAGCCCACTGGAAGAAGAACCAGGCACGGAAAGATGGGGTGCTCTGGAGGTGTTGCAGGGATGGGGATGGGGAGGAATGGAAAAAAGTGGGGTGGGGTTTGGGAAGAGAGAACAAGGCCACTCTGCAGGCGTTTGGGGGTGAGGAGTATGCCTGTGGTGACCGCCCGTAGACCTGACTGTGAGCATCCCTCCCCACATCCTCTTCCAGCCTGCTCCACCATGTTGTCTGTTTGTCCTGAGGAATGAAGGGTTACCCAGCCCCACCCTTGCCCTAGCCCTATACTCCCACCTCCTCCTTGAACAGATCAACATCCAAGGGCAGGGACCTGTCTTATCTGGGAGGAGGCGGCCCTCTCAGGTCACCATGTGCCCCTTTATCTCTCTGCCCTCCCTCTGCTTCTCACTTTGACGGCTCCCTAGCCTCTCCCTGATTCTGTCCCCCTCAGTGTCCCCACTCCCTGGAACTTGAGATCACAAAAGGCTCTCCCCGTGAGGCTAGAAGGGGCAGCTGGTTGGAGAGCCAGGCCTGTCTCCTGGTCAAGCTTGAGAGAGGGACTGGAGAAGAGAGCTGGGCAGAAGTTGGGAGGTTGGGGCATGGAAATAGCAAAGAAAGAGACACAGGAGAGGATATGGGGTGCTTTTGAAAAGACATGAGATGTGTCTTGACTCTCCGGATAGGCATGGCTCCAGCTCCATGTCCTGCCCTTTTAGAATCCCCCACAAGCAGACCAAATTCAGATCTCAGCAGAGTAGCAGCAAGGCAGGAGCAGAAGGCAATTCAGGGAGCTCCACAGAGAGGCCACAGAGCTCCCCCGAGGTCCTCTTGGGCCACAAGAACCCCAGCTCTCTCAATCGCATGTGCTCGGTAACACCCCATTGTAGCAGGTTCTGTGCTGTGCAGAGAGGGACAGCTGCCAGCTCCTCCCCGGCCCCTCCCACTCCCAGCCGCCTTGTGCCCGTCCTGCCTAGCCTGCGTCATTCCAGGACGCTGCCAAGCCAGCCCTGGAAAAGGCGTTCCCTGGCCATTGGCTAGAATCGGGGTGGAGAAGTTCCCAGAGCCAGCCTGTCTTCCCAGGGACCCATGGACTCAGCTTAGGTCATGAGCACGGTCAGAGCCTCTGGACAACAAGAGGCACAGTACCAGGAGCACCTGCCTTTGACCTCTCAGCAAGTGTCCTTCACGGGGATGGTCACTGCTCCTGCTTCCCCTGAGATGGGAGTTGGTCTCAGGTGTCTGCGGGGATACTTCCCTTTCCTTTACCCTCTCCACACCCGACAGTTTTGCTTTGCAGGCAGTTCTGTCTGTTCTCTGAGCCTGGCTTAGAGGACTCTGGGAATGTCCTGTACAGAGACCCCCTAGGTGAACCAAGCAAGTGAGGGAGACAGCTAAGGACAGTGCAAGACCTGGGCAGAGAGGAAGAGAGCACAGAGGACAAACAGCAGGTCGGACCTACAAACAGCCTCCCAGCCCCTGTTAATTCATTGCACTGGAATTTTTGCTTTATCAGAGTAACTTGAAGTGAGTGCATCATTGCTTTCGGCTCTGAATAGGCTCTAAATAGGAAACCATATGAGTTTGGGCCCAATTAATTTGAGTTCATTGACTGTGGACAAAATTTTATATTTGTACATACAATAAAATGGCATTTGTCTGATAAATTAAGAGCATACGCACTATTGCTAGGGGTGGCATATTTAGTCTGCCTAAGACAGTACTTTTTAGGCACTTTAGCAATACTCATTTAGATGTAGCAAATGCATGGGCTAATTATCCTCAATCCCTGTGTATCTGTTAAGAGACATCCATCTACAGCATCTTCACTGCTGATCTTTGTAAGACGTTAGTTTGAGACACTACGTATGTACTTGAAAATAATAAAGTTACATTTCTTTGTGGGCAAAAAAGGTCTTCCATAATTCAAATTTCTATACTTCACACAGGCCTCCCTCCCAAATTGTGGTGTTGAAATGTGTGCTGTGGCAGGCTGTGGCTTGTAGCAGAAGCACTGAGAGAGGGTGAATGACAGGGCTGGAAGGGACACGATGTGGGAACAGAGGATGGTGCAGAGGCCAGAGGGAATGAAGTGAGCTTGCAGTGAGCTTGCAAAATAACCTGGAAGCAAACACACTTCGGAAGGCTGTGGGAAAATGGGATGCAAAAATGCTTATTATTCTGGTGCCAAAGAAGTTTTAAATCCATGCATAGTTTCTGCACAACACATATTTTAATAAACTTTTTGAAGACGCCTCATATGTGTGGATTTCAACATTTTTTTGTGCCAAAATCTTTAAACTCAATGCTTCATGCATTTTTGAAGCCTTCTCATGTAGCAGGGGCCTCTTTCCTCATGGCTGATCTTACCCCAAGAGCCACAGAGGCTTAGCCCAGGACAGAGAAGAGCTTGTGAGTCTTTGAGGGCCCAGATCCTTGGGGTGTTCCTTTTCTGTTCCAAACCAAAGTCAGGCCATTGTGAACCTGATGGAGTGAGGGTAGCAGGCAGTGAGGGCCCCACAGTTCTGAGAGCTGTCCTTAGGGGATGAGGGTAACACGGACAAAAGCCTTGGAATTCCCTTGAGTAGCAGGCATCGGCGAGCTTCATAAGCTGGATGTGAGGCAGTCAGGAGGGACGCGTGTGTGCTGGAGATGCAGGCGTGGATGGGAAAGGTGATTCTCCTAGGGGCCCCCAGGAATGGGCGAGAGGCAGACTCTGGCTCTGACAGCCTCCACCAGGCTCTCAGAATAACAGTCACAAGTCAGTTCTGGACCAAGTCACGTTGTGGTGCTTTTATTCTAACTCTGTGGCGGTGATGGCACGTGTAGTAGCCGTGGTTCTAAGAACGTCAACTGCAGCTTGCTTTGTGCCCTAACAACCGCAAAGTTTCAGAGAGAGATCTGACCAGAGGAACTTCATTAAAGATTCCTTTAATCCCAACTCAAGAACTGTGTTCTTTTTTTTTTTTTAAGGCTTATTATTTCAAAGGCAGATCAACACACACACACAGACACACACACAGAGAGAGAGAGGGAGAGAGAGAAAGTACTTAGCACTTCTATCCACTGGGTCACTCCTCAAATGGCTGCAGTGGCCAGAACTGGGCTGACCAAGAGCCAGAGCTTCTTCAGCATCTGCTACGTGGGTGCAGGGGCCCAAGGACTTGGGCTGTCTTCAACTGATTTCCCAGGCCATTAGCAGGGAACTGGATGGGAAGTGGAGCAGCCAGGACTCAAATTCACATGGGATACTGCTGCTGCAGGCAACAGCTTAACCACTGCGCCAGCACTGGCCCCTTATTTATACTTTTGTTTGACTCTTCTAGGATAAGTTCCATGAGAACAGAAATTCTGTTCTTTAGGATCTAAAAAATGTCTGACACACATTATGCAATGAAAATATTCCTTGGACGACTGAGAGAATCCTCGGGACAATCCAGTAATATGGAGATGATTAGTATTTCCACTTTGCACATGAGAAAACTGAAGCTCGGAAATAGTAAATTTTGGCTGAAAGTTTCAAAGGCCGTGAGCATCCGAAGCAAGCCTAGGTCAGTGTGGCTCCTGCGGGCAGCCCTCTGAAGCACCGAGCCACACTTGTCTGCACCTGCAGGAACAGAAAGCCAGTGAGACCCAGGGAGCTTGCTAGGCAAAGGCTTTGTGAACTGGGGAGACTGAAAGGGAGCCAGGAATTTGTGGATAACGAACATTTGACTAGTAGGGGCTGGGCAGATCCATGCTTGAAGAACCAGAGAATGGGAGAAGGCAAGATCTTAAAGATGCAACAGGGGTTAAGAAAGACAATTTGAGTCCCAGCTGCTCGACTTTTGATCCAGTTCCCTGCTAATGCACCTAGGAAAGCAGTGGAGGATGGTCCAAGTGCTTGGGCCCCTGCACCCACGTGGGAGACCTGGGAGAAGCTCCTGGCTCCTGGCTTTGGATTGGCCCAGCTCCAGCCTTTGTGGCCATTTGGGGAGTGAATGAGCAGATGGAAGATATTTCTGTCTCTCCCTCTTGCTCTGTAATACTTTCAAATACATAAAGAAATAGGGAGGAAGGAAAGAAGATGGAAGGGAGGGAGAGAAGGAGGGAATGAGGGAGGGAGGGAGAGGGGGAGGGAAGGAGGGAAGGAGGGAGGAAGGGAGGGAGGAAGGAGAAAAAAGAAAAAGAGAAGAAAGGGAAAGAAATACAAAGAGATTCAACTATTTGCTGGAGGATTTAGCGAATAGAGGAGAGAATCTGACTGTGTGTAATAGTCAAAGTCAAAGCCAACCTCTAACCCAGGCAGGAAGGCTTTCCCTGGCATTTCCTTTATATCTACAGAATAGGAAATGTGCTAATTCATCAGAGACAGATGACAAGCTAAATATTCATAACGTTAAGAATGCAGCAAAAAAAGGAAGAATGTGATTAGATCAATATCAAAGGAAGACATTTAATACAAAATGAGTTTTTCAAAAATATCCTTGGCTCCAGTGAATTCAATGGAAAATTCATCAAAGAATATCCTCATATTATTTTAACTGGACTAGAATATACAAAAGAATTTTTGTATAAAATAGGCTGCTACCCAGCCTATGTTGTGAGATAAGTACCATTTTGATAAATTTTAGATCCAAATGCAACTTAAAAGTCAATGGAAAGTGAATTTAAAAGATAAACTTATTTTGGTGCAAAGATTTCAAAATCCACGCATGATTTTTTCATACTACACATTTTCCACAAACTGATTGAAGAGCCTCTCATATGCATGGTTTTCAGGTTTTTTTGCATCAAAATAAACTTATCTTTTAATTCCATTATTATGCAGGGTCTTTTTAAACTCCATTATCCATGAGCTTCTATGTACAAATATAATACATCAGACAGTAGAATGCAAAGTTAACATATTATAAAGAAAATGTCAATAACAGCTAACATTAACTAGAACAATGATTAAATGACTACGTGAAGTGATGCTGGAAAAGCTATCAGTGTCTATTCTTGATTAAAACACTGGAGGGAAAAGCGTATCAGAAAATGTCATCATGTTCAGAGAAGACAGGAGATGAAGTCCAGACAACTAATAATAGTAACAACTATAACAAAAACAGCAACAGTTTTAGAATTCCGGAAAATGTGTTTGTATATAAATGTCTAAAAAAGAGAGACAAACTAGAAGAAATACAAACATATTTCTGGGTAAACTACATGACTACCTAAAAAATCCAAGAAAGCCAACCAAAGCAACAACAGCAACAAAAAACAACAACAAAAAATCCTAGAAGCAATGACTTCAAAGTGACAGAGTACACAGAGTACAGGTGTTAATCTTTTAAATCATTGTTTAAAAGATCGTTGATTGGAAAGACAGAGTTACAAAGAGAAAAAGAGAGACAAACAGAGATAGATCTTTGATCCACTGATTGATTCACTCCCTAAATGGCTGCAATGGCTGGAACTGGACCAGGCCAAAGCCAGGAGTCCAGAACTCCATCCAACTCTCCCATATGGGTGCAGGGGTGCAGAGACTTGGGCCATCTTCTGCTGCTTTCCCGGGTGCGTTAGCAGGGAGCTGGATCAGAAGTGGAGCAGTCAGGGCTCAAATTGGCTCCCATACGGGATGCTGGTATTGCAGGTGGTGGCTTAACCTGACTCACCACAGCACCAGCACTATGCTTTGTTTTGGGGCTATTTTTGTTTGTTTGTTTGTCTGTTTCTGCTTTTTACTTTTTTAAATCAAATGTATACCTACATATTAAAAAAATAGAAAAAATAGCACAGGGACTATGAGAATTAACGGTAAAACTAGTCTTCAAACAGTACTTTATACTTTGTGTGTCTGTGTGGGTGCAAACTGTTAAAATCTTTACTTAGTATAGAGTTGATCTTCTGTATATAAAGATAATTAAAAATGAATCTTAATGAAGAATGGGATGGGAGAGGGAGTAGGAGGTGGGATGATTTGGGGGTGGGAGGGCGGGTATGGGAGAAGAACAGCTATAATCCAAAAGTTATACTTATGAAATTTATATTTATTAAATAAAAGCTTTCTATTAAAAGAATTTTAATGGAAAAAAGTTTTACTGCCAAAAATGGATAAACAAATAAAAATAAATAAAAGTAAAAAAAAAAAAAAAAACACAAAGAGTTACTATTTACCCCAGAACCAAAACAAAATACACTCAAGATTTAATATGTGCAGCATATAGCAATTATTTTTAAAAATTTGACAGCACAAAGAAATAAAGAGAAACATGTATACATGGAAAGCTAAACATAAATGCTGTTTGGGAAGGCAGAATGTAGTACAGATAAAAATAAGTTTCTATAAAAGAGTCAATCCAGTATCAGTTATGGTCTATATTTTTATGGAAGATGACATAACGGATGTGACATTCAGCTGCAGGAGTACCCAGGCAAGAGTATCAGTAGCTTAGCAGGTAAAGCCGCTGCCTGCAATGCTGGCATCCCACATGGGCACGGGTTTGTGTCCCAGCTGCCCCACTTCCCATCTAATGGCCTAGGAAAAGCAGCACAAGATGACCAAAGGATTTGAGCTGCTGCCACCCCATAGGAGACCTGAATTAAGCTCCTGGCTCTTGGCTTCAGCTTAGCCCAGCCCTGGTCATTTGAGGAATAAACCAGCAAATGAAAGGTATCTCTCTCTCTCTCCCTCTCTCTCTCTCTCTCTCTCTCTTTCTGTAACTCTGGCTTTCAAATAAATAAATCCTTTTTTTAAAAAAAGATTATCAGTGCTTTTTAATAAGTAATTATGAAGCAAGTGAAGAGAAGATACTATTATATTTCTTCCAATGGATTTTAAAACACATCAGATAAAAGTGATGATTTTATTATTTTTTAATGTATTCATTTATTTGAAAGACAGAGTTACAGAGAAGCAGAGGTAAAGAGAGAGAGAAGTCTTTTATCTGCTGGTTCACTCCCCATATGGCCACAATGGCTGGAGCTGGGCCAATTCGAAGCCAGGACTCCAACCGGCTCCCAAATGGGATGCCAGAACTGCAGGCAGAGGTTTTACCTGCTACACCACTGCGCTGGCCCCAAAGCGATGATTTTCAAAATGTTAAGATAGAGGGGTCTGCACTGTGGCGCAGTGGGTTAACGCCCTGGCCTGAAGCGCCGGCATCTTATGGGGGCACCTGTTTGAGTCCCAGCTGCTCCTCTTCTGATCCAACTCTCTGCTGTGGCCTGGGAAAGCAGTAGAAGATTGTTGCTGTGGATTCGTTTTGAGAGGAGGAACGTGGTGGGCGCAAGAG